AAAACAAAAAAAAAAAAAAAAAAAAAAAAAAATCATTTACAACTGATGAATTATTCAAGGACTATTATAATGACAAAACGAACAAGTGTCTCTCCTCAAGTTAACATCGCATTAATCAGAAGACATAGGTCCATTATTCTGTGCCTCAAAGCAGAGGGTTGGTTGGTAGAGATGCCACAGATGCATGTATTAAAGGAACAGTTTCCTTTTTTTTTCTTTTTTTTTTGCAAAGACTTAAAGGGAAAATTCTATCATTTACTCATACCTGTGTTATTGTAATTCGCTAAACATCTCCATTTGTGTTCTCCATAAGAAAGAAAGTTAGATTTGAAATGACATGAGTGTGAGTAAATGATGCCAGAATTTTCATTTTTGAGTGAACTATCCCTTTAAGCCTCTGCAAAAAATGTCATCGTACTGCAGACACAAAGTCGAGACATGGAATCTCAGCTGGGGGATGAGGGAAACGAGCGACGTAGAGTATTTGTCTGGTCCAGACGGCATCAGTGCACAGGAGAAACACTTAGCTGATGTCCCTCTTGGCAGCTGCATGCTCAAATAGCTGATGAATGAGCAGGAATCTGATCCTGGCTTTTAAAAGATCCAGTCAGCACCAGGTCTGGCAGAAGAGGTACAATTGTGCCAAACTTCTTTCTTTTATTGTTTGATTCCACCCTGCTCCATTCCTTTGCTCATTAATTAATTCAGTCAGAACAAGTTATTCAGCGAAACACACTCACACTCAGACTTACAGACGCATATTAGGCATTTTGATGTTTAACATCATGTTCCAGGGTAGAGATTCAGCTATAGGTTATTTCTGCATTTGTGTCCATCAGATTAAAATTAAAAGAGGAAATAATCAAATCGAAATAACATGAATGAATCTTAATAAAGTATTTAAAGGAATAGTTTATCCAAAAATTTTCATGTGAACCATAATATTCTGTGGGACATAAAAGGAGACATTTTGAATGCAAAATCACTATATTAGTATATTAATAGTGGTCCAGACATCGCATGCGACCAAAATTTAAGTCATTATTCACTGATAATCTTCCAATCCAGTGTGCTGTAACTGATTCAGTCAGTGAGTTGAAAATTAGTACCTGATTAGTTTAATTCATGAATGAATCATTCAGGGTTTGTGAACTGAATCAACAGATTCATTGAAAAGAATCTCATCATTCTTTCATATAATTCTACAATATATATGGACCACTTTTATGATACTTTTGGTGCTGCTTAATTTGAAATTTTGGAGTTTGACAGCCTCAGTCCTCATTTACTTTCATTATATTGAAAACAGTGTACAGGATATTTCATAATTCACATTTTGTGTTCCAAAAAAGTCATATAAGTTAATAATACTGATAAGTAAAAATTGACAGAATTTTCATTTTTGGTCTACTCTATACCTTTAAATTTTACCTAAAATTTAAACTATTTTTGTTGAATTCCCAACAAATGACTACACTTCCAGAAAAAAGGTGTGAAGCTGTCTTTGGAGTACGAAGGTACAAAAGCTAAAAATGTACATCTTTGTACCTTATTTACCTATAAATGGTACATATTAGTACAATTTTAGTACTTTACAAGTACAAATAGAAAAGGTCGTATCGCCAAACACTCGTCCAAAAATCCAGTATGCAAATAACATAAGGTGCGTAGATCCAAAAAATACAATGATACAAAGATGAAAGAGATCCGCACTCGTCCAGATTCAGCCCAAAATGCTTATTTCATGTATTGCTCAGAGGTCACAAAAATATGTGCAAAAAGTTATTAACCCTTCCTCAGTGCCATGTGCTACCAAGCAAGACCTGCGCTCATTAAAACATGTCTTACCGTAATGCACCTAATATCACGAAGATATGATTTTTTTTTTTAAACAAATACACATATATATATCTCAAACATACAACAAAATACAGCAAATACATTTACAAATCATCAAAACTGATCCATATACAACTATATCAACAAAATATACAGAAATATATACCAATAAAAATCTCATGACTCCAACAAAAGTACATGGCACTGAGGAAGGGTTAATACCCGAAAAAGTTCTGCACATTTGCACCTTTTTGCACATGTTTTTGTGACCTCTGAGCAATAAATGAAATAAGCCTTTTGGGCTGAGTCTGGACGAGTGCGGATCTCTTTCATCTTTGTATAATAGTACTTTACAAGTACAAATTAGTACCTTTTGGGGTACCACCTCAGTGACAGGTCTGTACTTTTTTTCTGTGAGCGTACTGTGATAAATATGTAACTGTGATAGAAAATTACTCATATATACAATTTTGTTTAACCAATATATACGATTTTGTTCATACCGCCCACCCGCACTTACTCAATAGCACGATGTCTGGCAACAGTGGCACTATAACATGTTTAGCCTTGAATTATCTTTAATATCTCCCCCTCCTCTTCCTCCTCCCCTCTTCTCTTCTCTTCTCTTTTCTCCTCTCCTCTCCTCTCCTCTCCTCTTCTCTTTTCTTCTTTCTTCTCCTGTATAAACAGCACAGCATGGATGTCATTGACGGACATTGATAGGTCTCTCATCTGCATTCTGCACATTTATGACCTTGTCTCAAAGCCTGTCTGTTAGATCCCAATTCCGCAATCCCACTGGCATTTACTGGAGCGCCAATCAATACTGTGGAGGTGCCATCTTCCCAAATTAGAACAAGACTATTGCCTCCGCAGATATCAAATGCTTCTGCTTATCATAAAATGTCAGACTTCTTTTACCAAATATGTATGCATTCCTAAGTCTGTCTAATGCAATGTGTATGTGTTTATGGGTGTACAGTTGCACATGCACAATGTATACAGTATGAATACATTCCCCAGAGCAGCAATGTCTCATACACCATTCATACTGCAGTGCGGAACAGAACTGATGACACAGATGCTGGCTAACTGCAAACCTAGAACGTTACTGCACGCATAAAAATCTGTCATCATTAGAGGTCACGGGAGTGGTGACAGCACAGCGCTTAAGTAACTAAAAGGTTGGTGGTTTTGTCCTAAGGTGCCGAAGAGCAGTTGAGCCAGAAAGCAGAGAATGACCATCACCATTGTGCCCTTGAGCAAGACACTTAACCCCAAACTGCTCAAAGCGGGATGTCAATCTGGATAAACAACCAGCTATAAATCACCAGAAGGACACCGATGCTATACAGATCTGCTAAAACAGCCCTCCAAATAAACAGAACGGAATGGAATAGAACAGAACAAAGAACAGAAACAGTATAATAGAGCGAGAGAGAGAAACGAGAAACAGAAAAAAATTGAATAGAAGAGAACAGAATAGAATAAAAAAATGTAGCAGACAGTATAGTGTAGAATAGAACAGAATACAGTAGACCAGACATATAATAAAACAGAATAGAACAGAGTAGAGTAGATCAGAAATGGAATAGAATAAACAGAATAGAATAGAACCAAACAGAACAGAATACAAGAGAAGGCAAGAATAGAACAGAAAACAGAATACAGCAGACTACTCAAGGAATAGAGAATAAAAACAGAATACAGTAGGTCAGGAATGTAATAGAATAGAATAGAATAGAATAGAATAGAAAATAATAAATATTCAATAGCATAGAATACACAAATAGGACAAAACAAAAATTGATTAATAACGTAGAGAGAATCGAACAGAACAGAATGGAATAGAGCAGAAATAGAATAGACCAGGTGTAGAGCAGGTACAGACTACACAAAGAATAGAGAATAAAATAATAGAATACAGAAGATCAAACATAAAACAGAACAGAACAGAATAGAATAGAATGCAGTAGAGTATATTTAGAAAAGACAAAGAATAGAACAAAATAGAACAGAATACACTAGAACAGGAATAGAATAGAATAGAATAGAATAGAATAGAATAGAGCATATATAGAATAGACAAGGCATAGAATAGATCAGAATAGAACAGAATACACTAAAGCAGGTACAGACTACACAAAGAATAAAGAAAAAATAATAGAATGCAGTAGATCACATATAGAACAGAACAAAACAGAATAGGACAGAATAGGACAGAACAGAGAAGATATAGAATAGACAAGGCGTAGAATACATCAGAATAGAAAAGAAAACACTAGAGCAGGTACAGACTACACAAAGAATAGAGAAAAATAATAGAATACAGGAGATCACACACAGAACAGAACAGGATAGAATAGAGTAGAATGGAAGAGAATAGAATGCAGTAGAGCAGATATAGAAAAAACAAAGAATAGAACAAAATAGGACAGAATACACTAGAGCATGAATAGAATAGAATAGAATAGAATCGAACAGAACAGAATAGAATAGAATTTAATGGAATTGAAAAGAATGGTGACCAGCAGTCAATAACAAAAAAAAATAATTTCAAAAATCTGATTATAAAACTTAGCGGAATAGTTTAGTTGGTAACTTTTCTATTCATCATAATTTTAGAAAGAGTACAGTAGAAGAGAAAAGAAAAGAGTATACAAGACTGGAAAGAACAGGAGTCAATGACATGAAAAACTTAATTTTAAAAGCCCTAGAAACCGACTTCTTTGGTAACTGGTTCTATTCATCATACTGTAACTCTAGAGCCATAAACAGCATCATCCTGGCATTCAGAGTGAGCCACGGAGCCAGATGTTATTCCCTTCTCTACTCTATGTCCTCATTAACTACATCTCCTGAATGGAATGACAATTCTTTGATGGGCAAGAACTTGCTGCTCAACACAGCAGCCTGTTTACTCCTGGGATTGATGCTTCACTATTGGGTTGATCCATTTTTCATGAGAGATTAAGTGGGATCTGGAATTATGCCGTTCTAAACCAGCTGTCTGCTTGGCTGTTTCCTCTCACCAGATGTTGACAATGGATTCCAATTTCTCTAAATTGATGAAGCTCACTGTGAATGCTTTTTTTTTCTGAAAAGCTGCTGTGATGTCAGTTACACTCTGATACTAATACAAAAGCAAAGAATCACATGCCAGCTCGATTGACTTGTTAAATGCCAGTTACACGCACCTTCAAACAGATATGCTTTACTCTCATTGTGGAACCCCTGGACCTGGGAGACTCCAGCACTTGACCTCACAAGATCAAACTTCTGGAAGATATTCACATGTAATGCTGGATCAACCCCCAAACCTGACACTAAAGACAATAAACATAAGGAATCATTTACAAACAGAATTGAATAAAAGCAATTAAATATAGGCAGTTACTGACCAAAAAAACAAACAAAAAAAAACACTAATATAAATATCTGCGTTTGTATATTTACATATACAGATGACCACCGTAATAATACATCTGGTAAAATAGAAGAACGCATAATATATTAATATACATGCAAGTTAATCTACATTGAGCATAATAAACTCAGTGCTCAGTTTTACTCACACAAACTCCAAAACACCATCACACAGAACTAAATGAATGGTATATTTATTGTAGATCAAAACACCCAAATTTATATAACTGATCATTTAAAATAAGAAATATTTTTCAACTGAAATATAGCTATTACTTTTTTTTTTACTTACAGAAAATACCAATTTAATACATATTAAATATTTTAATATACATTAAAATATGCATCCTTGAATAAATTCTAAATAATACACTGATTAAATAAACTAAAGTTTTAGAGTAGCCTATTACATGCATAACTTTTTTAACATTCATGGTAAGCTAACTTACAGTTAACAGGTAAGTTTCCTTTTTTTTATTTGTATTATACGTTAAATATACACATTTTAAATGACTTAGAACACATTTATATATAATATTTCCATATTTATACATAAAATTTCATATCTCAAAATTTCGGTTGCTCAAACTATAAACCTAGGTGTAACCACCCACTATTCAAAAAAAATATAAGCATCCCATAACCATATAAGCACCCATCCCGTTGCCGAAATTCACCAGCAATAAGACGTCTGGCAAATACAAGCTTACCGCAGAAAAGTCCGAGAGTGCAAAGCGCAAAATAAAGTTTGAATAACCCCATTGTGAAGGAAGTGAGAGAAACGCCTATTCCATCATGCTGATGTTCTGCTGGATACTGAGCGAGATGCGCATCAGTGATACATCTCCAATAAACGCATCCTCAAATCTTCATTACACTTGGACAAAACTTTAGCAAATAAACACTGAGATATAAAGCAAGAATGAAAACTCCATCAGGCGAAAATTCAGCTTCTGGAGATGCAGTGTACTCTTGTGAATGAACGGTCAGTGGAGAGATGCAGGTGCGTCTGTCCTCCCTTACGACCAGAGAGAGAGAGAGAGAGAGAGAGAGAGAGAGAGAGAGAGAGGG